TTCTTTACCTGACACAAAAAGGCTCTAATCATAACAGGAAAGATTAATAAATTTCATTCTATTAAAGACAGAAACTTCTACTCATCAAGTGACATCAAGATAATGAAAAAAGCAGCCCAATTAGAGAGGGAAAACACTTGCAATAGAGAGAGAGAAAGACAGAGACAGACAGAACTAAGAATTTTTATCTAGATTATATAAACAACAAACCATTAAGAAAATCAACTAAATAGAAAAGATGCAAAAAGTCTTAAGCAAGTACTTCACACATACATAAGAATCCAAATGGCCAATAAACATAGTAGCAGGTGCTCAATCTCACTAGTCATCACGGAAATGTAAATTAAAACCACAGAGAGCATATACACCCCAAGATCAGCTAAACCAGAAAATGTCTATCGATGCCAAGTACCAGCAAGAATACAGTGCAAGAGGAACATGCACTCACAGAATGCCTGTAGGAAGAGTAACTAACACAACTACTTCGGAAAACAGTGTGGCTTTATCTATTAAATTTAAAGATATACATATCCTATGACTCATCAATTCCACTTCTACATACATACCATATAGATATATATACTAATATATACCTGGATACATGTATAGTAGCATTGTTTGCGAAAAGCCGAAAACTGAAAAAATCTAAAAAGTCCATCAACAACAAAAGTGGGTTATACTTATTTCATAGAATACCATACAACAACAACAATGATTCAACTACAGCCATATACAACATCAATGAATCTTAACACTGAGCCAAAGAAGACAACACCACTACGTACTGCAGAAGTGCATTTATATAGGTTCAAAAAAAGAAAAACTTACAAATACTTGGGCATTAAAACAATAGAGAAAAACAAGGAAGTGATTACCATACATACCAGAATACTGACTACCTAATAGGCAAGGGAGAAGGCTATAATCTGGAAAGGGTCAGCAGGGAGATGCGGGGGTCCTAGCAATCATCTATTGTTTAGTAAGGACGGTGGTTACGTGGTCAGCCACTCTACTGTGATTCTTTAAACTGTAAATTAGTTCAATGGACTTTTCTGTGTTTTATCTCACACAAAAACATTGCAAAATTCAATTCATTAAAATTCCAAATGAAACCAAGACTCATCAAAACTGCCCTATTACAGTAAATTAAACAGGTACCACAAATATCCAGGAGTATACTTTAAAATTAAATCAAACGAAATATAAAGTAATTATTCAAATACTGGTACAAATTTACACAGATGAGACTGGTTTTTATATGGAATCCAAAGCCCTTTTGTTTAATCCGACCAGGAAGAAAGAATAACGTGTTCATTTAAATATACACATTCATTAAATGCTGTGGTAGGCAGGCTTTAAGATAGCCTCCAAAGATCCTCACCTCTTAGTATTCACATCCTTGTGTGATTCCCTCTCTTTGTGCAGGCTGGACCTAATGATTTATTTCTAAGAAAGAGAAAGCAGCACATGTGTTGGGATGTCACTTCCAAAATTAAGTTACAACAGGTATGTGATTGCTGTCTTCAAAACCCTCTCTTACTTTCTCACTTGCCCTCTCTAAGGGAAGCCATTGTGCCACATAGGAAGTTATCTTAAGGAGAAGCCCATGAGGCAAGAAATTGGTCCCTTTCCAACAGCTCGCAAGTGAACTTGGAAGGCTTCCTATCCCAGTTGAACCTTGAGATAACTGCTGCCCTAGCCAACACCTCAAGTGTAGCTTGGCGATACACCTTGAACCAAGGCACTCAGGTGTGCTGCACCAATATTCCTGACCCAAGATAGCAAATGTTTGATGTTTTAAGCCATTAAATTTGAGGAAATCTGCTACACAGCAATAAATAATTTATGCAAATATCTTCTATGTGCCTTGCACATTCCTGTTCATAATATTCAAAAGAAAGTCAGTAGGAAAAAAATAAAAAACGAAAATTAAATGTAGGATTCTAATAGCCCTGAATAGCAGTGAGATGTGACACTGATGTAAATAAGTAGTATGTTAAATCTGAAAAGCAGTTTAACTTCTTTGATTGGTATATATCAATGTCTAAACCAAGACTCATCACAATCCCAATTAAAAGTTACGTATGAAATCATAAAGTTAATTTTCAAAGTCTGAATGTTAATCTTAGGAAAATAAATTCCAAAGTAGTAGTTTCCCTCCTGGTCAGTCTATATTTTGCTTGAATAAGTTCAAGTACAAATTATACTGCGGGAGATAAGACCTTTAACAACTATACTCATTTTGAGGATTAAACATGCAAATATGCTTTATAATGTATGCAAGAAGAAAATATAACCACTCCATTCTGTCTGCACTAAATCATGAGATATGTGTCAACTATACTTTCTAGACTAAAGTTTATTACAATTACAAATCACTACTGTACCCAACTCCAATTATGGAGAAATTTATGAAATTTAATCAAAATAATAGGTAAATTTTTAAAAATCTGTTAACTTAGCTTCAGATTTTCAAATTTTCAAAACTTTATTAACCTAGCTCCTCAAAGTCCCTTCTGTAATTAAATCTGAAATACTCAAAATCACTCAATCATGGATACATTAAAAACAAGAAAACCAAAATGTATTAATGACAATATAACTAGTGCACATAAGAGGCACCAATATCCAGAATACTTGGAACTAGTATATTTCTTGGATAAACTACCTCTAAGGGGGAAAAAATCAATCATTCACAAGAATCATATTAGATTCAAACTAGAGTCAAACTGAAAAACTCTACAGCATAATTAACCCAAATGTTTAATAACAAAAATGGAAACACTCATATTAAGAGCTATGTGATCAAAGGCAAATATGATAGAAGGTGTTACTGAAGGCCACCAGCCACCACATCAGAAAGAGGACAAATTAGGATCACAAGGTAAGGATCTTGTTGGGAAACAATTTTCCACTAATCTCTCCCATTTCTGCACATCTTGTGATAGTTTTTCTTCCAAATTATCTTTTCAAGAATGTTTGTGTTGACTTCCTCCAGGACAGAGGGCATATTTACTTTCTGATCAGTATAATATATATAGTGTCTCCCTGCAGGGCAAAGACTGGACAGGTTTGCTAGCAGATTCTCTTAAAAGATTGGAATTTCCTAAGCTCAGGGTTCCACAGCTGTAACATAAATCTACAGTATGTGCAGAATCCACCTGGGCCCATCTCTACATCGCCCCTTGGAGGTCAGGTGGAACTGATGCAAATATGAAGCTGATGCTGCCAGATGTGACATGAGTAATAAAAGTCCTTATCTCCAGCATCTGTGAAACTGTGGCAGGCTAACTTGCTAGTAGGGTAAAACTCTCAGAACGTTCACAGTTTTCTGGGGTTTTTTTACAGTTATGTGCTGTATCCTTATTACCTGAGACAATTTCAAATCTAACAATTTATTACAAGCATTAATAGACCCCTAAAGAAACACTGAAAAACCTCAGGGGCTAAGGAAAATCTTAAATAATTCAGGACACAGATAACGACCAGGCATTACATTTAACCCTCGGATATCCTCATGTTTGGAATGTTCATTTAATTGATTCATTTACTCATTCACTATTAAGTAATTTCCTATGTTTTAAGTCTCACTCCCAATGTTTTCAAAGTCTAAAGCAGAAAGAAACATGCAAAACTACTGCGAAACAATTTTACACTCTGTTTTAAAAGGTGGGAGGAGTATGTATGGAATATAAAAAATTACCACTTTTCCAAAGAATTTTCTACAGCAAAAAATGTTGAGCCTACATATTGAATTAATAATTTTATTTCCATACATTATAAAATTTCCAACTTTGTTACTCAAAGTGTGGTCCAAGGACCAAGAGCATCATCACCTTGAACTTGCTAGAAATGCAGATTATCAGGCTCCAACACACACTTCTTAATCAGAACCTGGATTCTAACAAGCCCCTCAAGTGATTCTCATGCACACCGAAGTTTAAGAAGCACCCACTCAAAAAGAAAAAAAAGGAATAAGTCTTAAATTTATAATGAAGATAACGTTTTTAATAGACATATTAAAAGCACAACTGTAAGCAAAAGTTAAGGATAGGAAAAATACAGTCATAAACCATGTAAAGAATATTTAATTATCAACACTAGCATAAAACAGAAAAACCAAACCTGAATCAAGTAAAAAAATTGACATCATGAACAATCAGAAAAAAGGGAAATATCAAACTAAGATAACGTAAGGATCTGTCAATGCATTGAAAGTATTTCATCAAAATAAAAACTCGTTTTATTTTCTCAACTAATAAAGATAGCCTAGAACCTAGCACATAATAGACGGTTATTTATATTTTTTTTAATGAGTGGAAAGTATCCTAATTAGACAACTCAAAGTAAAAATATAAGAGAAGCGACACATTAGGAATTTAAATATAAAAGTTTTTAAAGCTATTTTAGGATGCTACCCAGAGCACAGAATTTTGCCTTTGATTTTCCCATATTTTGTACAAGTGCGAAATGACCGACGAATTTTATAAATGTAAAATTAGAACATTCTGGTTATAAAATTGTTAATAAAAATTATCTTTTGGCTATCCTGCATGCTTACACTTTCCAGATTCTAAATAGGTAGCTATGTTTTCACATGTTTTCTCCCCCAGCGTGCATTTTTACCATGAGAAAGACTGCAACCCTCTCTACTTAAGGCTTTATTAGGCACATTTTCCTAACTTTTCTTTTCAGGGCGAGGAGTAAGCTGTCATTTGATAATCCTGTTTTCTTCTTCACAGCTTTGAGGTAAGCCATTGTATTCAAGCTTATACAAAACTTTTCAGCACATCTCCAAACGTGGATTTTTAAAGTATCAAGTTGTAAAGGTAAAAGAGGTTAAAATAACAAAGCTTAAGAAAAACTCCTGGAAACTTAAATGCTTTTTAAATATTTAAATAAATTTTTTAGCATGAAATGCCTTTACAAAAGTAGGGGGGAAATGGGACTAGTCAACAATATTAAATGAAACATTATGTAAAAGACACAAAATAATATACCTCTCTCTTATTTCTTCTTGCAACCTTGAGGAATTCCATAAGGATCTGTAGTTGGGCTGCATGTGATTCCTATAATAGAAAATTATAATTGTTCTTTTAAAAATATAACTACGAGTTCAAAGTTTTCTTTAACACCACAGTATAACCAGTATGAAGCAATGTTATACATCGATTTAAGTCAGTCTATACTGCTATTTAATCAGTTTTCCCATTTACTAAATTGGCGTTTTTAAAAGGCATTTTCCCCAAAACTAACTAAAACTAATTTTAAGAAACAAGTGTTTCAAATTACATTCCTCATCTACCATGCTGAAAAAACTATTTATGGGAAATGGCAATTCTGTTACCTGTCCTAGCCTTCTCTTCTCCAATCAAACTAGTAAGACATCAAAACCAAAAATCATAGTGAAACTAACATAGTTCCTAGAGACTAATATCACTTTCCCCACAAGAATTTCATTGGCAGGGGAATAAGAAGCATAATAAAAGTGAAGAAATCCACACATTTCAGAAGTCAAATTTACTATTTCTAGTTATTACCTACTTACACAGATGTGAGAATTAATATATTTCTATAGAAGATTTCAGTCATATAGAAACATATAAAAACAAAAATTTTAATATAATTAAGTGGAGGGAGAGGTAAATAACCCAAATTGGTAACTGAAATAATGAGATAAGAGATAAATGATAACTATAAACTTGACATTTTCTGGGTATCAAAAAATAAAATTACAAATATGTATCTTTTACTGTTAAATTTTACAAAAAGAACCAAGAAATTCCAGATGAATCTGATAAATACATGTAAAAAAATACCAAACATAAAAATGGAATAACAATAGGAGATGGTTATGAATAAATATAACTCTATTTTTTAACATATAGTTGAGAAGGATGAATAAAAAAGCCCAGTGGAGTACTTCCAAAACAAACAAAAATAAATGAGATTAATAAAATTTTCATTTACCAGGCTATGCAACAGAATTATCTGAGGCATTTGTTAAAATGACACTGGAACAGATATTATCTGATTCTCTTACTCTAGAGAAGACTCCAGGAATCCATATGTTTAACAAGTCCCCAGATGGTAAGAATCAGTCCATCAACATTTGAAGAATCACTAAGATATTACACATACTACACAAAAGTATGGCCGCTTAATCAACACTCCTAGAGTCTACCCTCTTTGGGGAGAGGGAGGGAATCTTTGCATTTTCAAGGATAAAAGGCAAAATAGATCAATGAAATGTTTCAGTCAAGACAAACAGACAAGGGAGGACAAATGAAGTGACAATCACATTAGGATATTCCAATTAACAAACTCAACTGAATTAATGTTTCACAACTGAAAAAATTTGTAAAACACAGTATCATAAAGCTTTAAAAGTGAAATTTTTTCCTGCATAACAAACTGGATTGGAGGTCAGACACATTCCTGAGAAGTTAAACTTTCACAGAGAACAAACTCACAGGGGCCCTGAGTCCCAACAATGATAACAAAGTATCCCAGAATCCTCTGCATCTTTCTTGGGACTTCTTTACACTGATTATCTATAACTGTCTACAGATTATTTGGTTAGAGAGCAAAGACCACATATTTATATAAGAGGAACGTGTACAGCCAAAACTGTTAATAAATAACAGCTCATTTGCAAAGGAATCGTGCAAACTACCTTCAAAATAGTTAAGTTTGAATACTTCATTTCAGTCTATCAACTAGGATATGTTAATAGGGTGAGAATGCAACAGATTTACAGAAGGGAAGGGGAAAAGCTCCCCAAAGCCTCTAGGTCAAAGGAAAACTGGGACCAACTAAGTACACGAGGAATTCATTAATGGCACCTGCTTCTACAACTTAAATCTTTAAAGGAATAACTTCAAGAAAGGAGATAAATGGCAAATTTATAAAACTATAATTTCATATGTAAATATGAAAAAATCATATAAAATAAAAAGTGGAGTAAAAAGAGAACACTTAAAAATGGGAAGAGTATAGCCAATTGTATCAAAATAAGTCTAGCCATATAAAATTGTTAGAACTGTCTCAGAAACTGAACATGAAGGTAATCCCCTAAAGTCATCTAACCCACTACTAAAAATACAAGTCCAGGGGGCTGGCCCCGTGGCCCAGTGGTTAAGTTCGCGCTCTCCGCTGCAGGTGGCCCAGCGTTTCGTTGGTTCGAATCCTGGGCGCGGACATGGCACTGCTCATCAAACCACACTGAGGCGGCGTCCCACATGCCACAGCTAGAAGGACCCACAACGAAGAATATACAACTATGTACCGGGGAACTTTGGGGAGAAAAAGGAAAAAAATAAAATCTTTAAAAAAAAAAAATACAAGTCCAAGAAGTTGATTTTCTAAACATTTCTTACAATTGTCAAAGCTTCCACAAAAGTATAACGATCATTTATCCCAATTATCTCATTTTCAGATGAGGAAACTGGAGTAAGAGAAAGAGTGAAAAGAAACATATTTAGGGGAAAGAAAAAAAAAATATTTAGAATCTTATTCTCCACTCTCAGTGCTCTTTCTAATACAGCAAGTTCTGTCACATTTGTCCCCTTTGGTTCCCAGTCTATTACCTAAAAGGGAGCATGCCTGCCCTCTGAAATGGAATATGCTTCAAATCTTCAGTAACACATTGGTTTTTTCCTATATTTTCCTATTCTTTTCTGCAATTAATTTTTTATACTAAAGATCAGATAAGATTATCCCTACTATGAAAATGAATCAACTGCTTGATTTGAGCCCAGAACAATTAAACATGTGAATTGTAAAATTAAATCTTCTTGTTCCAACTCCATGGTTTAGTATCCTTCTGATATTTGGCATCTGAGAGAACTTTCCAACTGGCTGAAAATGCACTGCTCAGACCTATCAAAACACAGCTACTCTAACTCAGCTTCATAAACTTCACTATAAATGAATGTTGGCCCTTATGAGTTTACCTGCCACCAGTTCATCCTCCCAAGTACAGTTAACTCTATAGTAGTTGCTCAACACAAGGGCAAGTGGCATTTTGAGGGAAGAAGTGTTTCCTTCCATAAGACTTCCCAAGCAGCACAAAATAGACATGTTATTTAGCAGTATAGAAGTAAATAAAAACAATTAAAAGTTGAACAGATTGCTCCTAGGGAGTTAAGATAAGGGATAGGGAGTAATGGAACTGAGGACTGCTGATTTTTTCTATGAATCTTGTCGTATCATTTGATTTTGTAAATTAGGAGTATTTATTACTTGGATTTTTTTTTAAGGGAAAGGAAAAGCAAGAGGGGGAGAAGGGGTGGGTACTTTCCAGATGTGACAGGAAGTAGAAGAGTTCTAGGAATCTAACACAAAAACACTGTAAAACTGTATGAGTGCTTCCCCTACTTGCCTTCAGATTCCCTATCTATAAAATAAGCAGATGACATGTCAAAAACAAGAATCATTTTGTCATATCCTTTGCAAATGTTATTTAGGTGATTATTTTTCTCTATATTTTTTTCCTTAAATCTACTGTCAAAAAAATTCTAACGAATATTATTTCTGGTAGTATGAGTGACTACCAAAGCATTCAAATTGGGGTACCAATACACCTGAGAATGCAAGTAGATCTTCCAAAGTATATATGGACACAAGATTTAAAGGGAAATAATTCACAAATCCTCAACCTTCAATATTTATCTTTTCTAAAATTGATCTGCTCACCAGACATCACTCCAGTTCTCAATTCCAATATGTTCTTTCAAAATTTCTCTTTTCGTTCTTTAAAGGGGTTTAAAAAGGAGGGGAAGGAAAGGCATATCTTTTACCCATCCAGAAATTTACCTTGATACATGGCCTTGGGGTATGAAAGTCTCTGGAACAATAAAATAACATAATATAAAATAGTCATGCACCACATAATGACATTTCAGTCAATGACAGGCCCCTAAGATTAGTATCACATAGCCTAGGTGTGTAGTAGGCTATACCATCTAGGTTTGTCTAAGTACACTCTATAAGGTTCACACAACAACAAAATGGCCTAACAACACATTTCTCAGAACATATTCCCATTGTTAAGCGACGCAAAACTGTACTGCTGTTTTAAAAAGCGAATTACTCTAAATAAAAACTAGATAACAAATCTTTTTTATAACTCAGGTAGTTGCCAATTCTTTGCATTGAACACAATTTAGGCTATGAACCAAAAACTGACAGCTCTAGAAGGAAAATTTAAAAATCCATGATCATATTAGTAAATTAATATACCTCTCTCTACACTGAATAGGTTTTTACTTTGAAAAATTTTTAATAGAAAAGTTTTAAATAGAAGATGTAAACACCCAATTAACAAATTAAATGAAAAGAACAATAAATGAAACAATTTCAGAAAACGTGCTTCAAAGCACAAGAGGAATATTTACAAAGAGTGACATTATAAATAGTTCACAGAATGAGTGACTAAAATTTGGATGAGCTGGTATCATAGAGACAACATGTTCATAGTACAAAAGATTTAAGTTAAAAAACATTAGTGACCAATCCTCTCCAGATTAAAATGTAAAACACTGCTCCCACAGTTAACAATAAAAATACAGATAAAGTAAAAAAAAATACTATTCTTTAAAGTCAATGAACTGAAACTAACTCAAGCAACAACTGAGCTCCAACTCAACTAAATTCCTGACTAGACCAAAGAGATCAGTCTCTTAACCTTGCTCATGGCAAAGGAAAAGGCAAGAACTTTTAGGAAGAAAGCATTAACTACTTTAGTCTCTATACCACTCTTGAATACAGAATGTATAAGATACAATTAAAAAATTACAAAACATGGAAAGAAGTAGAAAACTCAAGAGAAAAAACAAGCAAAAGAATGAAATTCACAGATGACTCACATGCTGGAATGAGCAAAAAGAACTTTAAAATATTACTATAAAGCATTAAAGAATTAACAGGAAAAGAGAACAAGTGAAAAAAATGGAGAATTATAGAAAAGAAACTGAAAGAACAAAATGTAAATCCCAGAAATGAAGTACAAAGTCTGAAGAAGTAAAAAAATAAAAATAAAAAGACATTGGATGGTTTTAGGAGCAGA